ACTTTGGAGGCCAAGGCGGGCGGTTCACCTGAGGTTGGGAGTTCAAGACAAAAAGGATGGAGGGCCCTATGACAAGACTGGGAAGAAAGTTGATATATTTTTTGTAAGAATGTGGAGGTGTGCACTATGTTCATTTTATTATTAAGATCAAAAAGAAGAAGATAGAGTATATCTTTTGACCTAAGTAATATCCCTATGAGTAAAATCTAGGCCTTAGATTCTATGGAAAACGATCTATTTAATGGTTAGATGAGACTTAACAGAAGGTCTCCAGAAGTTGAGAAGAAATGGAATAGGGCATTTCCTCCTGTATTGTTAAAGGGAGGATGAATTCTTTAGAAAAGTTAGGAGTTCTTTCTCCATTGTGAGTGAGTCAATAGAGACTGTTCTGCTGAATCATGAGAAAGGAACTGGTTTTAAGCCAGTTTACTGTCCTTCCCTCCCTCAGAAGCCAAAGTCCAGTTTTCCAAATGGCTACAAATAGGATAAACTCCAAGAATGTCTTACCTTGGACTTCCTTTCCCTCTAAGTCTTCCTACTGCTGCACTTAAGAGGAATTCAGTGACATTCTCCCATTTCCTTTCTTATTCATTTTCAAAAGACAAAAGGTTTCCTCCTTCAAGAAAATGGTTCCCACTTCCTAAGCCCCAGAATACCCATGGAAAACACATATTTTGTTTAGGGAAGATGTGCTAAGAAGCTGCTTCTACCACCTACAGAAACAGTGATAAAGTTCAATAAACTCACCCAATGCAGCACCCAACCTCTTTAGTTGTTTCCAATGATCAGAGGTAAGGTAGAGAGATACATTTTAATTTTTTCTCCTCAAAAATACCTGGACCAAAAATTGACAGTCTGACTTGGGATCATATACAGAACAATTTGGAAAAATCAGGCAAAAATCCATGTGTTATAAACATATAAAATACTCAAACTTCTCTTCCTGGTAAGGTAGGGAATACTGTGCCTGATCCTAGGCAGACTTGCATATTAGTTAATAAATGCAGATGTTTTTGTCGTGTTCCTAACTATGGCTTCCTGATAAGGTACCACTTTTGATCAAATCTAGATGGCTCTAGAGGCCAATAAACATTAACAAAACCCCAAAAAAGTATGGTTAGTTTAAAAAGTCACAGCATTTATAACTGTTGGCACAGTAAATATGTTTTATGGTAATGTTTAATTTATACATGCTAAGAGTTCTAGAAATATTTTATGTTTCATGGCGTTGAGGGCTGCAGGTAGAAACAGGGAGGAACACAACTCTAAAAATCCCAAGGATTGCTGGAGAAATATTACCTAAGTATGAGACTGTCCATAAGCTGTATATCTAAAGTATTTTTCTGTATTCAAGGTTTGAATATTCCATTTCTCAACCTTTTTTTTTTCAGCCTAATCCCATCTTTCAAAAAGCTTAATTTTTTCCCTGTTCAGTGGCTAGAAAAGGGACTTAAGAGGTTGTAAGGGGCTGGGCAGAATCTCTTCCTGGTTTTCTGCACAGCCCTGTCCAATCACTGACTAATTTCATAAGCTTCTCTCTTTATCTCCCTGGATACTGTACATAAAAAGGAAACAAACTGGGGAAGAATTGTCATTGTCAAGCCTTGGAGCCCCACAGTGTAGTGGGACCACGATAACCCCAGAACCATAATATAACTGGACATGCCTGGAATGCTTCTGATGAAAACTAAGCAATTTCCAGTTTGCTGATTCAGGAACTGTTAAAAAAAAAAAAAAAAAAAAAAGGGAAACACCGATTAACTACTCCTATTCAAAATGGTAAAACTGCCAAGTCAGATCACAGGTCATCAATTTGACTATCATGTGCTAGAAGCAAGGCAGAAAGTAGAGGGGACAGTGAGCGGCACACCACTGGGAAACAAAAGAGTCTCAGAGTGGGGGAGTACACGTGTCCTGGAGCCTGGAACAGCCATCACAAGCGAGAATAGGTCACTGCAGCTGATCAGTTTCAGAAAGTCCTTCCCTCTAAGGGTTGCAAGTTCTGGAATCTCTGAAGGCACACCTACACACAGAGTGTTCTTGGCTCTTCCCAAAGCTGTTATCAGATCATATCTTGGCCAATGGAGGAGGCTAGGGACAAAAAGTCTTCCGGCCACTTACTTGGCAGTTAGTGGTTTTAAATTTTACATTTTGTGCCCAGAAGCCTGCAAATACTACTGCCAACTAGAGCCAGCAGCTGTGTCCTCCACCTTTGGCTTTAGACACCCATCCTCCCCAGGGAGCAAATTCCAGAACGGAGGGTGGGAGGGAAGGCGGTGTGACCCTGGGCAATATTCCCGGTAAGTGACTGCCAATGCCGCCCCGCCCCTTCGCCCTCGTCCAGAGTACTTGCAGTTTACTAATCCGAGTTAAACGGAAAACAAACCCTCCCCTGAGCAGTGAGTTTCTAAGACCTGCAGAACCCAATTTTGTCCTCCCCACCCCCCACCTTGGCGTGGCCTTGCCCAGCCACGCCGGAGGCGGGGAGACCAGGAGGGATCTAGCAGCCCGCGCAGGACACGCCGAAGGGGTGGGTGCCAGCCCCTAGCAGCGCAGCGGACGCTTAGCAGGGGCCACACGGCCTGGCGCGCCAGAGAACCAGTGCAGAGGAGGGGGCGGGCGGCGCTGGGGGCTGAGCAGAGGGAAGGACGGAAGGGAGAAGAAATAGGGAAGGCAACCTAGTCCCGGTGCAATCGAGGCCAGGGCAGGGTTACGCGGGGGCTACTTACGAGTCTCCCAGAAAGTCATGGAAACGGATGGGGCCGACGGTGGTATTGGCCTCAAAGTTGGGAGCCACGTCCCCGAGAAGCAGACCTCCAGGCATGGCGGCGGCGGTGATGAGCTGGCGCCGCACGGAACAACCAAACGAGTGGTTCTCCCGAATAAGGAGCCTCTTTCCCGCGCGCAGATGAATAAGCGAAGGAGCGAAGGGCGGGGACTGGGGCAGCGGGGGCGGGGCCGGG